AATGTTTTCATGAGTATTTGGTCTTATCTATACATATAAGACAGAAGAAAATTTATATATTAGCCTATCTGAATTAGATCAGGCTACAGGAAAATTCAAGAGGCATTAATTAGTTGCCAATAACTAACAGATATGATATTAGGCCTGTTTATATTTTATCCATTGTTATTAAAATTTAGATATTACTCTAGTTCCTAACACAGACCCATTCCAACTTTTAGGCAAATGAGTTTCATTACACTTGATTTAACAAGGAAAGAGTGTGCTCATTTGTTTTGTTCTTATTGTAGGGGAACCTGACATGATATCTGAAAAGATTTAGCCAGTTACGAAGATGACCAAAAATCTCAGATGAAAATGTCATGCCTCATCTATATTAGTAATTACATACTCTTACATACTTACTGGGGGAGCATGGGATATTCTGTTTATCTCAGCTGGGGTTTCATAAGTGGAAAGAGAACTTCATCTCTACTGCCCGTCACTAACCAATCAGGTGTTCTCAGGTATTCCACCCCATTTGTGAATGTAGTATGGCTTGTTCTAGAACAGTAGGAACACCTATGAGCAAAAATGGTGTGCCTTCACACTGTTCTTTACTTTCTACCTGATCAGTTGCAGTTTTATCATGTCAAATTCAAAACCAATAGTCATTCTTGCCATTGATCTTTAACAAGTTATGTGCTTCATGAATCATTAATTGAATCCAGAGAATTTTACCTTATAAAAAGTGTCACAGAGGGGAATATCACATACTGGGGCATCTCGGGGGGGTGGGAGTCTGGGGGAGGGATAGCATTAGGAGAAATACCTAATGTAGGTGACAGGTTGATGGGTGCAGCAAACCACCATGGCACATGTATACCTATGTAACAAACCTGCACGTTCTGCACATTTACCCCAGAACTTAAACTATAATTAAAAAAGAAATTTTTAAACAATGTCACAGATTGCTCAGAAACCCAAATCTTCACTCTGAATTTGAAGATATATGGGCACCATGTTAGACATGGTCCATCAAGAAAAGAAATGCCTAAGTTTGAGGAAGCGAGTCCAGATTCTAAGATAAAACCACAAGTGGGAAAGAGGGGGAAGAAAATGAAAGATCGTGCTAATTCTTAATAACCCTGAGGTTATTGATTAGATCATTTTCGCTTCAGAGTCTTCAAAGTTCTAAACCAAATTCATGTCTAGCATTTGATGAGCTCCCTTTTCTTCTCTGTAGCTATAGTCTATTTGTGCAAAAACTATAGCTAATGCTCTGTCTCCCTGGGAAGGCTTCACTCTAATCTGGCTAAAATTTAAATGAGGAAAGATAACAAGATTGCTGAAGACTATCATTATTATTCTCAATTTATTTCCTTTCTGCAGACCCCAGTGGCAAAGCCATTGAACAGAATCACACAGCTAAACCAGTGCAGCTTTTGTCTTCTTCTCTGATTGTATACATACAGAAAATAAGTATTTCTAACACATAGACTTCTGTCTTCCAGCATAAAGATGTATTAGGCGCATTTACACTTTCACATGGAAGCCTGTTTCAACATGAACGGAGCCCAGGCAAGTGTCCTTGTGATCAATCGAGAGTGAAAGTTAGCAATACTAAAAAAAAAAAAAAAAATAGATTTTAAAAAATATCAAAATAATTAGAAAAGAGTTTCAACTAATGACATACTTACTATTTGTATTCCATTTTGACAGTACCACGTTAGATCGGTTACTTCATTTATCACAATATATTCCATGCTACAGTTACCTCTCAGGAAAATGACATTGATGGAGCCAACTTCCTTGAGAATTAAGCTTCTGTAACTTTCATTTAAAGGTGTCTCAAGCTTTTGCTTCTTAGTATTTTATGATATGTCTTTAGTTTTTGTAATTTCACTTTGTCAAAACATTACATTTGTCATTATTCATACTGAAAGACAGGGTATTTTGAAGATAAAAATCTACCAAGGATCATCTCCCATTTGTTTTTGATATAAAGATTTATAAGATCATTTAGACCACAAAAACAAACCTTCCTAAGGGCATATCTATACATCAACAAATATTAAAAATTACATTCCTAGGAAATTAGAAACAATTTAGAAAGGTGCTTAGTTGGACAGAAATTAGCTACAACCAAAATAATGATTAATATTATAAGCCTAATCATATAAAATAACAGTTAATTGCCACTTTGAAGAATAAAAGCAAATTCTGTGAATATAGAAATAAAATACTAAAAATAAACAAACAAGCTTGGGAGAGATTAGTCATGCAAAATCCAACCCCAGATATTTGATGGCAATTATCTAAATTTTTTACCTTACAATTGAGATGGTATTTCACTGGCAAAGCTTAAACCCAGTAATATTCACAAAAATGGAAGAAATTCATAATTAAAGTCATTAAGCAAAACAGAAAAATATTTTAGTATCAAATTTTAAAGTTAAGAATTTTTTTTTTTGTAAAATATGATGGAGAAAGACAAAGCAAATTGATGGTATGAATTAACTAATACTAATGAACATTATTCTCTTAAATCTCCATCAGATACATTCTTAGTTTGAAGAAATACCAAGGCAATTTAAGATAGGGGTATTATCAAATAGTCCATATGTGATTTTCAGGAAGCAAAGCTATTCATTGCAGTACACTATGTCAATATTCTAACCATCAGAGAAGACATAAAATTTACAAAAGTCTTCTGTAGTACCCAAATCACAACAAATGGAATTGCTAAACATGTCGGGTTTACAACATGTCATAACCTCAGCATTCATTCCCACTTTCTCTCTTGGCATAGGAAGCTAGCTGGCTCATAACCCAGACTTTTCGCAACCAGAAGTTCTTTATCCCTATATAACCAAATCCTCAAGAGAACAGCAGACAGAGGGAGAAGACAATTTATTTAGAGAACTATTATGTGAGGAAGAAAACAAGCTGCCATTTCCAATTTGAAACATAATTAGGAAGACAATAGCCTCCTGACTGATGCTCTTTGTTCGCTTTGGATATTTATGTAGCCCAGTAATTGGAGTGTATTTTCCTGTTCAATTTCACATTGTCTAGAAAAGGGTTTCTCATGATCTATGACTTTCTAGTTGGATTCAGAAGAAAACATCTTGCAGCTACTGCCCTATTGCCTTGGCCACACATCAATGCCTTCTAGACATGGTCAGTTGCTGAAACTCTTATTTTTAATTCTGCCAAACAGTTGAGTTAATAGGATTTTAAGAAGGAAAAGGTTGTTCCATGGGACTTGGGTGATTGAAGGCTTTCTACCCATTATTGAAAAATATTGGGAAAGTTAACCACCCTTTTTTGCTGAAAGATTAACATATATAATTGATATAAATATATGTCTCCAGATACATTAAAGCATTCAGTCAATAACAACATCAAATGAAAGTTAGGATTGAGGCCCATTACATTTCCGAAAAGATGCTTTTAGGAGTGGAGAGAGACAGCTTCCTCCTTTCCTTTTATAAGCAGAGAAAAGTCATTTTTTTTCTCATTTATTGAGTATGTACTTTCTGGCTACTCAGGTGGGAAAAATTTTCCATTGATTATCATTAGATTGCCCTGAGGACAAGCAGTGGGGGAAGGAGGCTTATACACTTGTTATTTACTATTAAGTAACTACTAAGCCATCCATCTCTGATCCCAAACACTCCATATGCACATTCAGAATAAAATTAACAAAGATATTAAAAACCCTACATATTTATTGAGCAGCTACTGTGACATATTGATTAAGCTTCACAACAAACTTCTAGTCATTATATCCCCACTCTTCATAAGCTGAAATTGGAATTCAAAACTTAAATAACACCATATTAAAAACTCAGACTGATCCTTTCATTTGTCTCCTTTTTTTATTTTACTGTGATATACTTCTCCCGGCAAATTGGTGACTTAATCCTAGTTATACCCCAATTTTGGACAAATTTCACAAGAAGAATAAGACTTCTATTTCTCTATGTCCACATCCACCTGGAACAGTGCTAGGCCTATGCTTACAATTGATTGGTTCAGCTCACTGTCATGAGCCTCAGGACAGAAAATTGCCGGTAAGCAGTACTTCCAAATATTTTGTAGGTAGATCACTTCCATGGTGATTTTTAACCCTTCATGACCCATAGTCTGGACTGTGATAGAACCTTGTGAAAAATAGCTATGCTATCTAATAAACCTTGATACAATCAGAAATATATTAAACCAATTCTATGTCCTTCTCTTTTCTAAGCTGCATTAAATGTCAAGATCATTTTCTAACTTTTACTCTTCAAGTATTTAAAAGCTTTGGACTTTAAACTTGATAAATATATTTGTTTTCATACTTAATATTGACTATATTATTCAGAATAGGATATATTAAGCTGCAATCATAAGCAACACCCAAATCTCAGTTGCCTAATATAGTAAAATATGGTTTTTTTTCTGTACATTATATGCTCATCAGAGCCTAAGTCAGGCTCTGTTACTCATCATCCCCATTCTAAAACCCAGGTTCATAGAGCAGCTTGTATGTATAGCATTGCCAGAATCTATGGGGCAGAAAGAGAAAGAATGGCAAATCTTGCACTGGTTTTTGGAGCTCACAGACCAATATGGCACACATCATCTCCACTCATGTTCCATTGTTTAAAACAAGTCACGTGGCCACACCTACTTATAAGCATGGGAGGAATGCAATCCCACCATTTGTTCAAGTGGACCAGAAATATCTGATAAACTCTAATGACAAAATGCCTGGTTTTTGGCTACCAAATGTTGGGTTTCCTCTTCTTACTGCAGGCAAATACACTCATCCTCCCCAAAGGAAACAACCCAAGTGGTCAAAGTTTCAAACTCAATGTCCAAGATCTCTACATGATGCCTGATATTGCTTTATCAGGTACAAATGTAGCTCCTTTTGATCACTGTGAAGTAAAAAGGCAAGTCTTCTACCTTATTTTCTATATATACTGTATTCATAACCTTAACCTTTTAATCTGGTCTTTATGTTACAGGACATGAGAGAGAGACTTGACTGGACTAAGAAAGAAATGAACATGATTTAGAGATGGAAATGGTGACATATGGGCTGTTGAAACCTCCCATGTTCCAGAGAAGGTGAGCATGTCTCTGGTCATATGAGGGATATGTGTATATATATGTCATATTAAAATCCTGATTTGTTGGTGGTAGAAGTAGGCAGAAGTTTAAATGTGGATAAAAGAGTGTCAAGGGATGCTGAGATGAAATATGAGGCCCTGTGCTGGATTAACTCTTGTCAGGTTAACATCATTGCCACTCCCATTGATGGTCTTCTCTGCATTGCAGAAGAGAAGACTAGAACCACATTCCCCAGAATCCTTTTCCCTGTGTGGTTTCCTGTATAGTTAGTTTCATCACTGACAGTCACTTCTGTAAACTTCAGAAAGTAAAAGGGAAGAAAATGATGATATTCACCAGAGGCAGATTCACCCAGACACGTGAGTACATGTCAGATGTGAAGTTTGAAGGAATTTCAGGGTGAACTTCTGAAAATATTCACTTAGGTGCTATAGGCAGCTTTGATAGCTGACATGGCTTCTTGTGAACCAGATATCTCAGTGCACCTGGCTACAGCAGTTATTTGGAACTTCCTAGAAGCACTTGAGTTCTGTGGCAGCTCCCAAGTAGACTCTTGAGATCCACCACTTCACTTCCGTTCTGCAGACTGAGAGTTAGTGACAGCTTCCCACCTTTCACTCTGCTGGTTTCCCACAACTGTGAATGCCTCTCATTCCATGTATTACCATGGACACATAGAGCAACTTCTTTTTTTTTTTTTTTTTTAACCAAGCACTACTGAACCTTGAGTAATAATGAATTATCATAGGGAAGTTACTCGACAATAACCACAGATGACATTTTGTTGGTTTTCAAAAAAATAAATTTAAAAAAGTATTTGAATATCTTTAAGAAGCCTTACTAGTAATATAATAACAAAAAGGCAAATATCTATTTCTGTTCCTATTGTTATTAAATTTTCAAATTGAAGTCATTAGTACTATTGCATTGTAAGAAAAAAATGATTTTAAAAATCCCTAAAAGTTTTCATTGACTCTTTGAGTAAAAGTATAAACTCACAAGAAAGAACTGTGTAATACAAATTTTGTACTGTTTTTAATTCAGTTCCTTTGAAACGCTGCCAGAAATAATATATGCTTTGAAAAATAACTACTTGAATGTTAATATTTTCAATTTCAAATCAAAAGAAATAAAATCTGTAAGAAATGACACAAAATTCTACTTATAAGCATAAGGAATCATAGATGACAGACATGAAGAGTTTCAAATGATCCAGTATTTTTGTTTTTAATAAATGACATGTCTGAAAATCTAACAAGTATCTCCCACCCCTAACAGACTATCACATCCCTATTTAGCTTCTTATTTGTCTCTGTCAGGCTGATCCATGGGTTTAGTCCCTAAGTCATCAAAATGAGACTTGACATTGATCACAGAAATTTATGATACTTTGAAAGATTGCACCTGATTAATGGCACAGCCACAATTTATGTATTCTCCTAGCCATGTTCATTCACAGTCAGTGCTGGCAGGATGTTGAAATTGTGGGAAGAATTTTAAATAAATTGGAGATTGGCATGAATCCTGGGGTCTCTATCCCTTTATGATTAAAAAAACCTCTTTATTTCTTCAGGTAGTACCAAAGGTATTTTGAGGCACATTTTGCCCAAAAGATGGCTTCTTTGTGGCGGTGTATTTGCTTACTCCTGTAGCCTCTAAGTTAACTTTAAAAATTTTAAGAAGTTATTAAACTCTGAAAAATGTTAAAACCTTGGCACTGTTTCACAGGCTAAGTCTTATCCACCAATCCCATCCATTGTCTCTTCTTGTTCTTATTGGGCTCTCTCTAACTATACTAATAGATTAAAGATCCTGAGCCTCAGTTTCCTCATGTGCAAAACAGGAGTAATTACAGTGCATCTTTCGAAGAGTTACTGTGAGATTAAATGAGATAGTCATGTGAACTACTTGGCCCAGTGCTGGGGATCAAGTAGCTATCAAATGCTACGTATTAATTTCCTCAAATAATATCCTATAATATAAACAACAAATGAAGATTAAGTAGAATATTCAAGGACAGTAATCAAAGGTCATACAACTGTTTTCTAACTCTATCTGAATTTCGTTTTTTTTTGTTTTGTTTTTTAGGTTCTAACTTTAGAATCCATATTATATTCATGGTTTTCTTATTGCATCAGCAACATTGGCATTAAGTGATACCATGTACAACTCTCCTAGGTGGTCTTTTTTAACCCAACCTAACTTCTGACTAAGCTTTGCTCAGTCTGTAAACATAAGGAGAGCATCCAGGGTGGTATGGCCCTAGGCAAATAAATGCAAAAACAAAACATCTAATGGGAAACAAAGTAAAAATCAACTAAGTGAACATGAACAAAATTATTGGAAATAATGTCCACATTCCTTGAGATTCCTTTTTTATCAATATTGGTTCCCTCATTTACATGTGTCTGGTTGGTTTCCTTCCCTTAAATCATCACTTCTCCCAGCAGTCAGTAGACCTCCCAGGTATCTCACATATGGGAAATTTGAGGTCTGTGCCCACCTGTTCTCCCTGCTCCATCCCACAAAATATGAGCTCACTCTCCACAGCTGTCAATAGCTTTTGAAATTCTCTTCATGTATCCTGTCATGCTATTAAATCATTTTTCCATGTAATTTTCCTTACATAAACTACATCGTTTGGCCTGTAAAACTGCCAAAACCTCAAAGGAATGTCTTTAACAAATTTTAATGATCTTTATTTTTTATCACATAGACACTTCTCCACGTCCTTCTAAGGTTTACCAACTTAAAAATTAAGGTGAGAATTTGCACCTGCTACTGTATCTAGCTTCCACACCTGGCATATTTACTTAAGGTATTCCTTTTTTCAAATCAGAGATTTGTGTATTTTCCACAAATAATTTGTGAACCTGTTATCTGACTTATTTTTGATGATAGAAAATGAGTTACTGGACACTGCACATAAAATATCTTACAGTTAAAAGGGAAACAGGTGGTAATTTAAGGTGGCATTTACATGGACAATATGGGCAATTAAAAGCAAAACATTTCTGATTTATGACTTAACTTAATCATCTTGGCAAAGGGCTAAAAAATGTAAACAACTGGAGATTTGACATGACCTGAGAGGTTTTCTAGACCAGAATGCTAGGGAATAGTTAATACCCCATAAACCTATGCAAAACTACTCTCCTTTTTCTACAAAGCATGTGTGTGTTCTAATTAAATAGTATTTTTTAACTCATGTAAACAAAGAGGAAAGGTCAGTTAAAAAATGTTGTTCTGCATTTTGTCAATGACTACAAATCCCATACCTAAAAATGGAGCCTGTCTAATTCAACATCATTTACTTCCCAAAAGCAGTCATCAAGGTGGGCAGGAAAACCAAAAATATATAAAGTTAGAGTCTGAACTGACTGGGGTTCTAATTCCATAGAATAAATGGTATTCTGCTTCAAATCTACAAGGCTCATTTTTCTCATCTTAAAAATGAAAATAAAGATTATTAACCAAATTAGGGTGCTCAGGAGAAAGGAAGCCCTGAGTAAATGCTCTTTTCTTTCTATCAAACTTTTCTAGCTGCTCTCCCACCATGACACCCTTCCCCCACAGCTGGTTTGTCTGTTATTCCATCCTCTGACTTCATCCTTCAGGTATTTCACTAGCGTAATCCTCAAAACAGCCCTCTGAAGTTGTTTTTTTATCTTCATTGTCAAGGGGTTGGGGAATGGAGGTGTAAAGAAGCATATCAGTCAGGAAAACAAATACCACTCTAGGTATTTCAAACAGAGAGAATTTAAACTCAAGAAATGTCCACACAGGTAATGGAAAAGGAGAAATAGCTAAGGGGTATCTGAGGGAGCCCAAGTTTTAGCAAAAGCAAAAAGCTACCCCTAACTTTCCTAGGCATGGAGGTAAACTGAAAGGAAACCCAAAGCCAGGGTCATCCTGTGGATGTGACCTCAGGTATCCATTCAGGGAGAGCTGAGGCCACCAGAACATGTAGCCACTGCTGAAAGTGCTGCTGAAGTTGGAACAGGAGCAATTAATTTACCTTCCCAGCAAGAAGAAGGCTCAGAATTGGAATCCACATACTTACTATAGCTCTTTCTTTCTGAAATGGATATAATTTTACATGTGAGAAGGCTTACAAATCATAAATCCCAATAGAAATTTAAAACCTTATAATACAGCATTAGGATATGAAGAACTCTGGAACACCCTTCAAATAAGAGATCATAAAGAATTCTTGGCCCCAGAACTTGCTTGACAGTTTCCTTGAGTGATTTCATACATTCTAATGGCTTTGGGTCAAAAGCAGGGCCTCAATAAAGGTTTATTGAATGAAAGGGTGTCCAGGGGAATTTTACATAGTTTTAATTATGACATCTTTTGGCCCACTAGATTTGATCATAAACTTCAAATTCAAAACAGAAAATCAGAAGACTAGAAGAAACAGCGTGGGATCACAGTTTGGATAGATCTTTTTTGCTTTTTCATCTTATTTCTATAGTTGAATTAAACTTTCAGAAAAAAAATACATAAAGCAGAGGTATTTGAAGCAATGAATAATAAGATTGGACTTCTGAAGTGTGGTTCACACCCACCTCATTTCCTAAGCCATAATCCTGGTATAATGTGTAAAGGGATTTGCAATGAAAGATAGTAAATCCAATGTGTATCAATTATTCATACATTCCAATTGGCAGTGAACCCAGCAAATGTATTCAATGAGTGGTCTCTATTCCCACAAATGTAGAAAGTGCATAATGGATGGAAAAATAAAGAATTTACTCTTCAATACTCGCTTACAACAGCTCAGTAAAAGAATGCTTATATATTGATAAAATTTTCAAAGTATTTGTTGAAACCACTGACCAAACTACCCAAAACTACAGCTGAACTTCTGCCAGCTACGAAAGGGCTGTGCTTGAACTCCATTTCACAGTTTCTGGTTTTCACAGCCTTTAGGCGAACACAATTCAAACCCGTTACTATGCTTGAAAAGATCCGTTTCAGAAACTGTTACACAAACAGAGAAGCTAGCACACATTATCCTAAAATGCTGCTGTGTTTAACGCGGAAAAAAAAAAAAAAGCTCTCTGATTTCTTAAAGTTCTATGTGATGCACCATTAAAATTTGCATATGAAAAATTTCAAAGCTTTAGCATTTAGAGGCTTTGAAACCCCTTTAAGTTTTAATATTTTCAAGGACCTGAAGTTTGACCAACTTCTTTCATTTTCCAAACTAATCTGTGAATAGGAAAGAATATTTTGTACTCTATGCTTTGTAAATGATAAAAGCAACTGCATTTTGAATTGAAGGTAAGTATTTGTTTCACTGAAATGTGAAAAATCATAAACAAAACTAGAAAAAGTAAATGGTCCCTTTTACTTACAAACACAAGTCACCAAGAGCTATCTTATCTATAATTATTTGCATTGTGACAGCAAAATCTCGATAAAGTAAGTTCCTTCCATTGGAAATATATATACAACTTTCTTAACAATAATTAGAATGGAGCATTATTTTTGACATTAGGAAATTCTAGATCTAAATATATAATAAATCCAACCTTGAAGCAAACTTTTAAGATTCAATGAACTGTCAAAATTAATAGAAAACTCCTTGTATTCAGATCAGTACAAAGAAAAAAATAGTTGATTGAGTTAGACATAATACACACTAGGGGCCTAGAAAAAGTTGAATGAAACAAAATTAGCTCCTTCCTTGTCAAATAAGACAATACCAAAAAGCAAAGAAAACACAAAGAATATGATCACTGCAACACAAATTAACAAGTATCACCCAGTTTGGGCTTTTAATTAGTAGAAAACCTAGACTTTTCCCAAGTCAGACTGCAGTTCTAAAAGGGAGTTTGGTGAGATGGTTTTACTTAGATGAGATTATTTCTAGCAGTGCTTGCTCTTGTGGTACTATGACTGTTTTAGGATTTGAATCCCCTCCCTTTTGCATGGCCAACTTCAGTCTTATCCAGTAAGATAAGCTCCACTGTTACCTCTGGTAGATGGTATTACCTGATGCCTCTTCCAGGTAGGGTTGTGTCACCTCTTCTTTCTAATTTTACTATCTCTGGTGTGTTACTATTCTCTTTATTCATTTGTATCTCCTCTCCCACCATAGAGTAAATTCATAAGAGGCAGAAACCACTTTTGTTTTTGTTTTATTGAGATGGAGTCTCGCTCTGTCAGCCAGGCTGGAGTGTAGTGGTAGGATCTCAGCTCATTGCAACCTCCACCTCCCGGGTTCAAGCCATTCTCCTGCCTCAGCCTCCCGAGTAGCTGGGACTACAGGCACCCGCCACCGCGCCTGGCTAGTTTTGTTTGTTTGTTTTTTTTTTTTTTTTTTTTTTTTTTTTAGTACAGGTTGGGTTTCACCATGTTAACCAGGATGGTCTCGATCTCCTGACTTCATGATCTGCCTTCCTTTGGCCTCCCAAAGTGCTAGGATTACAGGCGTGAGCCAACGTGCCCTTCCTCAGAAACCACTTTCATAACCTCAATACCTAACAGAAACTGGCACATGGGTGGGTAGTGAATAAATATTTGTTAGTTAACCACGTGAAAATTTTCTTTATACAAGTTGAAATTGGTAAAGAATGGACCTTTGCATTTTGCCAAACTGTTCTACAATAATCTTTTGTCAATAAATTTTATTTTATTTCAGCCCAAATTTTAAAATAGTGGTTGTTTATGTTAGGAGAAACAGCCTCTCAGTTTTTTAAATGATGAAACCAAACTTTGTCAGCTGCTAAATTTTAAATAACTGAGCAGACTACATCAAATTTTAATGGAAAATTATGTTTTAAGTATTGTAAAAAAAAAAAACAAAACAAAACCCAAATCTATCATAAAGTTGACCTATCCTCCCTAAAAATGAAAAGCAAAGAAAAGGGGAGAGAGACTTCATTCATTTCTTAAAAAATACTACGCTCATATTTTAGATTTTACATTGGTTAGTCAATTCTCAAGTTTGAAAATCTATCCTTGAAGTTACAGGGTTCTCAGTCTTTGAGGGGACATGATGAGATGACTTTTTTTGAGGAATGTTGTTTGGCTACTACTCAGGATACTAATGCTTTGTTTGTTCAATTCCTTGCAACTCCATCATCGGTAATGCATCATCACAATGTCACCTTGCCTGTCAGACTCAACGAAGGAGGGATGCACATGGGCACTTAACTGCTTTCTGCCTGGCTGGAATTGGCAGCTATTATTAAGAGTTAGTAGCACAATGGGGTAGGAGAGAGATGTCTTAGCTTTGGCATATATGCTGCACATGAACAAAGAACTTTGATCTTCCAACCTGCCAAGCTGACATCTTGCACAGGCATAATGTTCCCTCAAAATTTAAATACAAAACCAAAAAACTCTTCCATCTGGGATTACAGTCATATAATTTCTATATATTGCTGGCTTCAAAGGACTGAATTCTTTACAATACTATTTCAGTCATTTTAAAAATAAAAAAGATGAAGTCTTGGAATGGTTGACCCACATAGCAGCTCAGCTGGACAATGATAATGCTTCTGAATTTTAACTAGAAAGTATCCATGCTGTGCAAAGCCGCAAACTTTCCATTCAGAATATAAGAAAAAGTGAATACTCCTAGTGAGATATTTAGCTAGTTATAGACAGCTGAATACTAGCTAGTAGTTTTTATACTTACTTTGTTTGTCTGTTTAAGGCTTTATTTGAAACACAGAATTTGTAATCCTAATTTTTCAGACTGTGTGAGAAATGTTCACACTTGCTCACTGGGTTAAAAAGGATGGATAGCTTAGAGAAAAAGAAGAAAAAAAGAAAATTTGGCTGGGCGCAGTGACTCATGCCTGTAATCCCAGCACTTTGGGAGGCCAAGGCAGGCAGATCACGGGGTCAGGAAATTGAGACCATCCTGGCCAACATGGTGAAACCCTGTCTCTACTAAAAATACAAAACAATTAGCCGGGCGTGGTGGCACGCATCTGTAGTTGCAGATACTCAGGAGTCTGAGGCAGGAGAATCTCTTGAATCTGGGAGGCAGAGGTTGCAGTGAGCTGAGATCACGCCATTGCACTCCAGCCTGGGTGACAGAGCGAGTCTCAAAAAAGAAAGAAAGAAAGAAAACCCATCCACCCATCCTCACATCCGAAAAACTCAGCATCCTTGTCCTGGTAATGATGGAAGTAGTCATTTCTTCACATGTGTGTAACATGTGTCTATATAGATAAGTAAATACCATTAGTCAATATAAAACTAATTTCATGACTCATCTCTTCAGGCAACCTTGCAAATTAAATGGTTCACATATGAAGCAGCACAGCTGTAGAAGGAAAATAAGGAAGAGAGTATAACTTTGGAAAATTCCCAGGACTAGCAGTCTAAAGGTCATGGTTCTAGTCCCAGCTTGGCTAGTAATTAATTGGATTTTGGTCTTAGATAAAATACAGACTTCTAGATCTATTTCTTCACATAAAATGAGAATAATCACCACAGTCCTGATCTAATATACTAAGATTTAGTTTCATAAAGTGTGGTTCCAAGAGCCAGTTATTGTGAAGGTAGGTAGAAGTGCTTTAGAGTAAATATACTTGCCTAAGTATAAACTCTTGACTTTTTGCTACTGTCTTACTAGACAGACAAGTCATTCAGAAATCTATAGATCAGCAAAATAGGTATAACATTTTCTACTTCATATTTGTTTTCTAAGTTTAAATGAGAAAATGAATATCAAAAAGTATAGCACGTGCCTCCATAGGAAGAGTTCAGTAAATCTCAGCAGCTAATTACAGGAATAATATGGTGGAAAAAGGCAGCAGCAGTACTTCAAAGTCAGTTGCCTTCAGGGGAGAAAATGACTGCAAGGTTAACAAAACTTAGCCAGAACCTGATTGAAAATAGGGATGTGATTCAAAATGGCAGATGGCAACCCCAAGTAAGATGACTTAGCAATAGAATCACAGATAGAGAGGAGCCATTGAGAACACATAAGCAATGACAGCTCTATGAATGAAGACCTAGTGTCAGATGAATGTGAGTATAGGTCCATTGAGTGAATACATTCCTATGAAAGGAATTGACATGTCAAGTTTTGAGCCCTAATGATACTAAATATTCAAAAAGTTGTTAAAACCCCTTCTTGTTCTGATTCCAAAATAACCTAACAATTATATACTCATTTTTATTTTTATATATTCATCTGTATAGAGAAAATGTAATGATCAGGCTAACATGAGAATTCACTCATTCTGCCTGACACAGCTGTCATTGGGAGTTAACAATCTAATGTTCTCAGTTTCTATTCCAGCCCCTGTGAGCTGTGACTGCAAGAGTCAGCACCTAAATTAGACCAACACTATAACATAAAAAAGGTAGAGGGGGTTTATGAGACATAAAGTCAGACTCTGAGCTATGTACCTTTATTTAAACACTGCTTTTAAAATATTCTAAGTATCTGACCTCTTTTTTTGACATCAAAACCTTTTTAAATGCTATTCTTTTGATTTTCCAATACAATTCAAACATTATACAATTCACTAGTTTATTAACAAATTGCCACTATAATATGTAGATATAGGTATAGTAAATCTGAGTTCTAGATTACCTCTCAATTTAGCAAAAATAAATCAATATACTACCCAATACTAAATGCTAGTGATAAAACAACAACTCTACATTATTTAGACAATGATGCAGGAACCCTAAGATAATACTAATACTTCAGAAAGAGATTTATTTCATGTTTGGCAAGAACCTTACTGATAGAAAATAGGCAGTAGAAATTCACAGCCTATGTAA